GAAGCCTCGCCGGCTCTCCTTAACCCTGAGACCCACCTCGCCAGCCGGGCAGCCTTGGAGCCAGGAGTGAGACAGGCCAGGCAGGCTGTGGTATTAAAATGTTTAATTAAACTTCTCTGCATCTGGCGGCCTCTGAGCAGTAAGTTCTGTGATTTCCAAGTGCCGAATGGGAACTTAGTGTACAAATGTGCAAACCGTGGAGGCGTGACTTTTTGAAAATTGAAGAAACTGTCCCTGATGTCAGCGAGGAGAGGGGGTTCTGCTACGCCCCCCGGACGCTGGCTCTCTTGTTCCCCACGCCCCATAGGACAGCCCGGGTTTCACACTTCATTTCAACAAGTCAATCAGAAAGGGGAACAGAGATGGGCCGCTCTCGGCAACTCTGCCTGGTGTCCGTCCCCGTGGGAATCTCCAGGCTGGCGCTGGCCCTCGGCCAGCTCTGGTGGGAAGTCAGAGAACTTCCCAGAATGCCGGCTGCTGGCTCCGCGGCTCTGGAGCGGCTGGGTCTGCGTCCCCAGAGTCCACACTAAGGGGCAGCCAGGGGACCCGCAGGGTCAGTGTCTCTGGGAATAGAGTTGGGGTCTCAGAATGCGCCTGTGTTTCTCATGAACTCTTAACAACTTTCAACACAAACTCAACAGCCCTGACTTCAGGGAACAGCCTCGCAGCCCAGGGCTCCCCTCTGGGAGCGGCGTGAGCATTTAGCTTTTCAGAAAACAATCGTTCTTGGTGGTGGTCACCTGGGCCCTGCCCGCCCATCCCAGGGTCCCAGCCCGGGGTCCCAGCCGTGCGGGCAGGTGCCTGAGGTCGGAACCCGCTAGGCCCTCTTCGGGGAAGAGACCACTTGGAGACAACGGCCGTGGGCCTCGTGTGCTCAGAGGCGTCACTGACAGTTCCAGAGTCAGGGATTGGGACGCTGGTCACTGCAAAGCGACCGCCAAGGATTCCCACTGAGAACCCAGCCAGGACAGGGTCCCCCTTCAGTGTGAACCCCTGGTTCCGACATCTCAGACGTGACTTGCGAGCAGCTAGACCTGAGGCTGCAGGAGCAGACACTGTCCGCGGAACTCACCGCCCCCGCAGGGGCCCCGCGCTCCAGGCGTGACAGAGCCTGGCTCACGTTCACGCCACTTGTCACGCAGGCCACTCTTCCTACGGGCACAGTGAGGGCGTCTTGTGACGGTTAAATGAGGGAGACGCTACCGAGAACGATCAGGCTGGATATATTTTAAAGTACAGACTTGCACGTGCTCTGGGAGGACAGCCCAGATGCGAGTGATTAAACATATTCCTAAAAGTGTGCGGGTCATACCATCAGTGAACAGTCACAGTGCAGACACGGTGCGTTCTTCCCTCTCTCAGAACAAAAACATGCCTGTTACTGAAATATCAGAAATAAAATCATTACTGTGCTAAGATCAGAGTGGTAGTCCTCAGCTCCTGTCTCCCCAGCTCTGTGCTAACCTGCTTCCCTCCCCCCCATAAGACCGGAACACCCAGGGTTCGAGCGTGGCGGATGGAAGGGAGGCTTGAGGCGGTGTGGGAACCCGCGGAGAGGGGTTCACATAGGGTCCTGCGGGATTCAGCGCTGTGGCCACCTCGTGCTGACACTGCAGGGCCTGTAACTGCGCGTGCGCTCCTGGGGGTGGGCACACAGGTACCTCACATCACAGGCACCCCGTCGGTCACAGGCGCTGTGGTGCTAACGGTGAAAAGCTGATTCGCAGAAGCCGCGCCTACACTCTGCTAAAAGGGGCCAAAGGAGAGAGGCAAGGTGCCCAAACTAACACAAACTGCCTCCTCCAACCCCGCAACCGGCCAGCACAGCCCACACCTGCCGCCACCACCAGCCACCACCACCCAGCGGCAGAGGGTGCCAGGGAGGGAAGCTGAGCCCCTGCGCCCTCGGTCTCCCCCTGCCTTGCTGGCACCCTGGCCACAGCTCCTCCGTCCGTAGGCTCCCAGGGCCTAGTCGGGAGGGAAAGGCAGAGGGCGCCTCTCTGGCTCCAGGGAGCAGGCTCGGCCTCTGGCTCACACTGCCCACCTGCGGGGCGGGGGTGGGCCTCTTCCCCGGCCTCACATCACAGGCGCTGTGGTGCTGATGGTGAAAAGCTGATTCGCAGGAGCCGCGCCTACACTCTGCTAAAAGGGGCCAAAGGAGAGAGGCAAGGTGACAAAACTAACACAAACTGCCTCCTCCAACCCCGCAACCGGCCAGCACAGCCCACACCTGCCGGCACCACCAGCCACCACCACCCAGCGGCAGAGGGTGCCGGGGAGGGAAGCTAAGTCCCTGCACCCTCGGTCTCCCCTTGCCCTGCTGGCGCCCTGGCCATGGCTCCCCCATCGGTGGCCCGGCCGCTTGCCCCACAGGCAGGCTCCCAGGGGCCCTGGTCGGGAGAAAAGGCAGAGGGTGCCTCTCTGGCTCCAGGGAGCAGGCTCGGCCTCTGGCTCACACTGCCCACCTGCGGGGCGGGGGTGGGCCTCTTCCCCGGGTGGGGCAGGTGCTACCCAGATGGCACAATGCCCAGGGCCAGGGGAGCTGGGCTGCCTTGCCCACCTGCCTGGCATGTGCCTCAGAAGCTTTTTGGGAGCCATGACAGTCCCAGTCAGGCTCGTGTGGCGTTAGTCATGGACCCCAAAAAGGGCTCTGCTGAGGTCACCACCTGTCCAACAGGAAGTGGACCGAGGGCACTTCTCCTGCCTGCAAACCGCAGGCCCCTGGGCACCTGGGAGGACTTCAGACACCGGCTACTCTTGAACGAGGATCTCCAGTTGACTGCCTGGTGGCCCATGATCCTCCCGCTGACTCACGCCGTTCTCTGCACGCTATGTGAGGAATGCGAGGGCTAAAACCATCTCCTCGCCGGCTCGGCCCTAAGCAGCCTTTTTTGGTTGTTCTATTAGGAAAGAATGCAAAATGCACAGCATTCACCAGACTTCCTGTGTGGGGAAGAGGAAACACAGACGGCAGCGTTCTGTAAAGGGCAGATCCCGTCTAGAATGCAAAATGCACAGCATTCACCAGACTTCCTGTGCGGGAAGAGGAAACACAGACGGCAGCATTCTGTAAAGGGCAGATCATCCTCCTTCATCCTGCATTCCTCTTCTCACTGGTTTCCCAAAAGGGCACGCGAGAGCCCCAGCTGTACCTGTGTTTGTAGCCTCTGCGTACACTGCCCCCCAAAGGCCTGGGAGATGTTCCAGAAGGAAGGCAGGAGAAGGGCCTACTGTTCGCAGCTGATGTAGGTCTCCTCTGGGAGGTGTGTCTCAGAAACACCCAAGGCTTGCAGTTTTACGGGGAAATGGACATGCTCGCAAAAGGGAAGTGCAGTGGCTCAGTGGTTGGGCATCCGCCTGTGAACCAGGGGGTCACATTCCATGCCCGGGTTGTGGGATGGATCCCCAGTAGGGGGCGTGCAGGAGGCAGCCGATCCATGATTCTCTCTCATCACTGACGTTTCTCTCTCCCTCCCTCTCTGAAATCAATAAGAAATAAAGGAAATGCAGATGTTTGGGGAGCATTATCAGAGAAATAGCACAGGTCAGAGCAGCTCGGAGAGGGAAGATGTTGAAAAACAGACATTGAGCAGGTGAAGAAGAAAGTAACATTTTAATAAGATGGTGGGAAAGAGAGCGGGCAGCGGTGACAGCAGAGCAAAGGCGCGCAGACATCCTCGCGGGTCACAGTGGGGCCTCGTCCCTGCACCCAGACACGTCTTCCTGAGCGTCTCTACCGCGTCTCCCCCCGTGTGGGGTGATGTTCCCCCGGAGCCGCCAAAAGTGCTCTGTGATCTACCCGAATTCACGCTGAATACTTTCCAACGTTGCTCAGCCTCAGACTTAAAATAGCTATGAGCAAGGTCTTCAGGTTCCTGTCAGTCACGTGGCCGACTCCGCGGCCAGCTGGGCGAGGGCAGGGTGTGAGCAATCCCTACCCGCAAGGTAACCTTGTTGGAATCCTCCTGGTCCGTCAGAGGTAAATCATACCGTGAAGGTGCGAGATTAGAGCCGCAAGGCACAGTGGGAGGAGCAGTTGTCAAAAAAGGCAAAGAAACACAGGAAAAAGAAGGCGGTGAGGTCACTGGGAAATGGTGCTGATCTCGGGGTGCACTCACCCTCTGGCCTCCACACACCAGTCCTGCTGCGCCACCAGCACCCTCTCTCCAGTCACGTGGTCTCTGGAAGACACCTGTCACGTGGACCTGCATCCGAGGCCCGCCCATCTGCCTACCTTCCTCCACGGCCTGCCTCCACCCCGGCAAACCCCGGGGGTGTGCTCGCTTAGTCTCCCGAGTGATGGGGGCGGTGGGAATCGCTGGCGAAGGGCGGTGATCATTCTCCGCCACCCCTCTCCCCATCCCGTCTCCATGTGTCCGACACCTGGCAAGGAAGCGAATACACCGCCCTGCTCAACAGTGACCAGGGCCCTCCTCTCACCCCTAACCAACCCTGCACCTGCCAACAGTCCCAGGACTTCTCCGCAGTTCGCCCAGGTGGCCGAGGTGGGGACCGGAGCTGATCCTGCCCTCGGTACATTCCTTACCCCTAAACACTAGTAACAGAGATAAAACACTACTTCAAAAAGAAACCGCCGTCAGCGTGTGCCGTGTGCTGGTGACTCGAGCCCTTCGCCCCGGAGCAGGGCCGGGCGCAGGTGGGTGATCACGCTGGCCACTGACCACTGCCTGTCTCAGCTAACACACGCACCCTAAGGACCTGCTTGCTTAATATCACGGCAGGTGGCTATGGGGGGTGCCCCGGATTTAAGTGCGCAAACAGGATCGAACTGGCTGCAGTCCATCTGAGTTGGGTGTTGGACTCATTGACCCTATGGTGCTCCTTGGACCCACAGTGGGAGGCGGCGTCTGAAATTAAGTAAGTGGAGGACTCGCTAAGCATTCCGGGGATGCAAGTAACACTGCAAACCATCGCTTCAAGCAAAGAGGACACCAGGCGTCCGCCACAGATTACCCTTCCGCGATCGAGGGTTTCCACACCTGCGCTGTGACGCCACTCTTCTTGGCCGAGAACTTGGGCCGCGGTGCCACCAAATACGCCGTGGAGGCCACCTCTTGCTTTGGAGAGACGGGGACGCCCGTGGGCACCGGGGATGCGCTGACCGGGGAGGCGGCCTCGGGGAAGAAGGCCGGCTGGGGGCTGTAGGCCGGCAGCGAGTACACGGAAGCGGCCTGTGTGTTGGTG